TGTAACTGGTGGTACAAGCGGGAAGGTGGTGATTCTATATGAAAAACTGAATCGAAAATATAGAATAAATTTTTTTCAATTTGTTTTCGAGAAAAATGATTGAAAGTTTATCGAGTACGCGTGTACTTGATCAAGCCTCAACTCAAGGAATTTTACTGTAGACTATCTTGATGTGTGTAAATACCGTCAATGTTATGTTTTTTTTGTATTATTCGTACTTTTCTGTTATGCTTATCGAATTGAGCTCTCAGTTTCTATTAAGGCCCATTTATACATATCCGTACCGTACTGGCAAGATTGGATATGAGTATTTACATATATTCGGATCGCATCCGTGAATGTTTTGAAACATCAGTCTCAGGCTCAGATTTAGGTATGGGCTTAACGGGCTATAGCCCAGGGCGGCAAAATCAGATTCGTATATGTTGCATTTGGGATTTATTTTACATATTAGGCCGTATTAGGTTAAAAGTTACGTTTGGAAGTCATTCATGCTCAGATCGCGTTATGAATTTCTTGTAAACATTCTAATTTTCACTGCTCTAAAGCTCTTTGAGTCCATGATACTAGGGCCGGTATTTATAGTCCGTTCTTATATTTAAGATTGTCTTAAGTATTGTCTTAAAATGCTATGAACCAATCAAAAAGCCATATTAGTATCTTAAGATGACGATGACGACGACTTAAGACGATCTTAAATATAAGAAACAACTATGAATACCGGCCTAGAAATCAGTCTGAAATCTCGATTGAAAAATATATAGCTAATAAAATTGCCGTTTTTCCATGAAAACTGCAAGTTGATTATACATTTCTTGGACCGATTTCCAGCATCGTGGATATAGACCTTTACATAAAGAACGGCAGCAACTTTTTAGCCCCAAGCGGCAAATACGTAAATCCGCGTCTGATCAGTCTTCAGACATACATCTGACTGTGAACATGGCAGAGCTATCGATAAACAAATTAGCGGTAATAGCATTAATTTTAGACGAAGAGGAATCTTAACAAAAAAAAAAAAAGCAAACGGACTTTATAGATTCATAAAGCATGGACAAAACGAAAAACGGAAGGTGAATTTTTCACATTATATAAAGAATTGGTTGATGATACAACTAAATTTTATCAATATTTTCGAATGTCAGAACATGCTTTTAATGTGTCAATTTAATTGATAATTAAATACGAAAACTATATACAAGATAGAGAGAACCGATTAAGCCAAGAGAACGATTAGTGATTTGCCTAAGGTAAAAATATAGTTTTTGAGAAATTGTGGTGTAGCATAAGGATTCACCGTCGTATACGTCCCTTGCGTGCATCCACACACGTATTAAAAACGATAATACGAGGATCAAAGAGATCCCGCTGATTTAATACGAGCTAGTTGTTTGTCTGAGCGGCACTATTTATATTTTTATGTTGTTCCATCGTCTATGATTCCTATTGGTTGCGGTGTAGACCTAGCAACTTAACCCTTAATCTCGACGGTTCTTTTCGGCACCTTTAATCCCGACTCATGGGTCGCTTTGCGTCTTTGCGTTATTTGGATCAGTAAAAACGCTTTAAAAAATCTGAAAAAATTCATGGAGTTTTTTTCAACCTTCAATTTGAAGTTCCAATTATAATATTTTGATAAAAATTATTTTTTCATATAGTTTGTTATTAAGAAATGAAGGTACCTTACAGCACTTTGAAATTTCGCTTGGGTCGAAAACTACCCATGAGTCGAGATTAAGGGTTAAAACTGCCAATCAGAAGAGGATGTTGTCCCCAATTGTGACGTAAAAATCCTATCACGCCCTATGCTGAGGTCGAACGAACACGTTCCAGTTATTATTCTGTTCCAAGTTCTCAGCTAGCTCGTATCAGTACGCAAAGATTATATAGTGTAAAGTCATATACATCAGTGATAATAAATATTTTATTATACGAAACCACAGTGAAGAATTATTTCGAATTATTCTTACTGCTACAAAACAGAAATACTCTGCCACAGTTTTTCTTTATAATTTCCATCAAGATATTTTGGATGGGAAAGATCGTATAATTCGATGTGTTGTCGCACTAATTCTAATTTTTCATTATCCCTTTCTTTATTTTAAAAGAGTGCTTTTTTGAGTGCCAAAATATTTCTCAAGAACTTGACCAACCAGGCAATTTTACTCATGATAAATATTATTTTACAAATAAATTTTTATGTTTGTTATAAATATCATTTTATTTGAAGAAAAAATACACAATTCTCTTCAAAAATTTATGCATTCACGGATGCGACCCGGATATGTGTAAATACTCAGATCCAATCTTGCCGGTACGGTACGGATATGTATAAATGGACCTTAATACTGCCGATACCTTAATACTGACTACATATAGCAATCGAGAGTATATGGCAGGGTTACGCAACTGGCGGCTCGCGGGCCGGATCCGGCCCTCGATCAAAGCTGCCAATCTGGCAACTCTGCCCGTGACGTTTAAGCTTGACCTCCAGAAAGAAAGAAAAATAAACTGAATTATTAAAGCACAGCCTCTGGTAGAAATTGCCTTACTGGTGCCATGACATTTGTCAGCGCCATACAAGTTTGCCATGCCACAGCCTTATTCTAAAAAACTAGAAAGATCTATATCAAGGCCATGCTTGCCTGATACATAAATGAGATAGCATTACTATAAAATTAAATAGGCGTAGGTCTGGATTTGACTGAGCGGCCAACACTTGCGCCACATTAGGCCCACATTTGCGCCATTGAACTTTTCGTTTTCAGAAACAAATTTTTTAATAGTGATCTACACATGCGTAGATAATTATTTCAGATGTTTTCAAACAAACTCCGTCAAACTGCATCATTTTTTGACTGTGTCAAACTGCCTCTATCTCCATACGAAAATGGATGCCGAGAAAATAAAATAAAAAATTCGAGCACAAAAATATCGTCAACTTAAAAAATTTAAACGCGATTATTTATATGAACGAGGAAAACGTAATGCATGCGATAAACCAAGTTTTAGCGGTGTAACTTCAAAAGGTATTGATAATGTAATTAATAATATTAAAGCAAATATATATATACGAGAGGTGTTTGATAAGTCAGTGACTTTGATAAGAGATGATGCTCAGATCGCAAGTTTGATATTAATTTTAACATTTGTCACTAGTTGTAGGTATACACACAAAGTTTCAAGTAGATCTGTCAAATAGTAAATTTTTAACAGAGTTTGAAAGCAGATAAGTTTGTGTTTTTTTGCTGCAATGGAAAAAAGTGAATTTCGTGTGTTGATAAAGCACTACTTTTTGCGTGGAAAAACCATTAAAAAAACTGAAGAAAAGCTAAAAAAGTATTATGGGGACTTTGCTCCGTCACATGGAATGGTTTACAAGTGGTTTACTGAATTTCGTTGCGGTCGTACGAGCACGAATAATATTGAGCGCCCAGGACGTCCGAATGAGATCACAACTGAAGAGATGGTCAATAAAGTCCATGATATCATATTGAACGACCGCCGAATGAAGATACGCGAGATAGCCAAGATGGTAAACATCTCAGACGAACGCG